AATTTATCACGATTTTAAAGTTAGTCGAACTGCTATGTTTTAAAGTGAGGTATGGATTTAGATGTTTAAGGAACCCCGTGTGAATGAGCAATGTAAATTGTCCCGCAGTGCTGATTCAATATGATTGGATTTTTGGCTGATGATGTTGGTGTGTTGTTTAGCGATGACCACTTCGCTGCTCAGTGCTTTCCAGCCGAAGACATCTAGCAGAATGGCAAATCGCCACAGTTGTGCTGCTCTGTTCCAGTTGTCCGGTGATCACCACGGCCACCAGCCATCGCCGAAATCGCGCAGTGTTCCGGAAGGGTACTTTCGACCGAGGCTGCGGCACAACAGCTTTCCGTTCGCGGCGTTGCTAATGGAGTCTTCGAGCCCGGTTTTCGATAAACGCAGTCGAGGCGGCTCCCTGCGGCACATGTCCCAAAGGTCAGCAGCGCTGGGATACCCATCAACGGTGTTAAGAGCCGCTTTCCATTGCCACCCTTCGACGTCGTCCGCTGTCGCCCCGTCTGGTACAGAGGTGGAAATTTACCAGCGTACCACGGAGACCGCGGAATCGACGACCTCCGCCAAAGTGGGCGAGTCTTCGGATGAGGAGTCGAACTCATCGGACGATAGCTTTGTGCGCATCGAAATGCAGTCGATATGCGCTCCTTCGGATGGCTCAGACTTGGGTGCGTTTTACAAAGAGTTCAAGAGCGCGTCGTCTGAACTGAAAAGTTTCTTACCGCCAACCTCGCAGTACGTGTGCCAGCTAGCAGCTGGCCTCTGTTGTTCAAGTGGTCTGTCCTACAAAGAGACGGACACATCGGAGGAGGACGCGTTGAGGAAGAACTCGGGCTCGTTCGATACGTTCTCCGCCCTGCTGAATTCCTTCGAGCGGCAACAAGTGATGTTCGACGCTTTTCTCGCCTCTTTGAACTTGAACTCCACCGACGACGAGGAAGAGGCTTCAGCCGAGCGATAGAACGTAGCGCGCGAGCTATTACGTACAGTTGTCTCATCTGAAGGATTTTTTTCTAATCCGTTTGCATATCTGACAGGACTGTTGGTTAATTTTGGTACTTTGTCGACATTTCATTACGGTACGAAACCGCAACGCTGGTCGTTTCTCTTTTCTAACTCATTTAAAGTTGATTTACATCGATTCGGTCAGTGTCACCCACTATAATATGCCAGTATAGAACTCGATATTCCGTTTAACGGTAACCATTTCGCTGTTTTCTTTCCTTTTAGATTTCATACTTTTATTCCGTTAGACTCATACTTTTTTTTCACGTTTCGTTTTACTCAGGTATGCCGAAGGACCCCTTATGTGGTAACGGCGTTATCCATCCGTTGTCATTGATAATCGGCGGCTTGACATTGTCGCTGATATTTCATCCGCATATTACCGTATTACTGTTGTAAAGTCTGAATGCATTGATGCAACTTTCCCCTCCCCTTCGGACGATGTCAATGTGGCGATAGTCGTGTGGCACCGAGCAACTGCACACTTTACCGTAATGTCATCTTTGCATAAACGTTGTCAAGTTTTGGTACGTGATACAGTTATCAACTTTTCTATTAAACTTTTCGATTGTTAGTTGTTGGGTTAAAATGAACCGTGTGTATTTTTTTATTTATCATTTACTCTTTATCAATATACTTTGGGAACTAGTTTGAAAGACTATTCTGGCTACATAAATCAAAGAAATTCAGACACTTCGACTAGTCTTACCAATTTAAAAACAACACATACTACCTTTATTTCTATTCATTTGCATAAATATTGAATTATGGAAACCTATTTTGATCTGCAATACTTGTTTTTATTGCTTATTCATACCATCCTTTTGCACAGGGGACTTTTCGAGTTGGGCACGACTCCGAAAAAATAATCATCTATACCAAGGAACCCGTGTTGCCGACGCCCTGGTCGAAGCTCGAATGAAAATTATTCGGTGTACAGGATTAATCGATCGATTTACAGGATTTATTGCCTTGGTTTGTTTTACACTTTCCTCGACTATAAGAATGCATTTGATCCACTACGTTGTCGACGATGCGGAGAATTTTCAAACGCTATGGTAAACCTGCAAACCGTTGCTGTTTAAAGAGTTGTATGCAAGAACCATGTATGGTGTCAGAGTTGAAGTAGAGCTACCTGAATGGCTCCCGGTGATGATTAACCGTTGAGTTCTCCAGGGTGATGTACTTTCGTCTATGCCATTCAGCATTGCTCTCGACTTGCTTCTCCGAAACAGTGCTGACCATAGCAAAGACGCATATCCCATTCCAAAATATTTCGGAGTCCAAGATATCTAGATATCTCACTGATCAGATTACCAAGATATTGTGTTGGACATTAGTATAGGAAGCGGATTCTTACCTTATGGCTTCCGTATACAACACAGCTGCGAAAGCTGGCCTCTTCCTTAAAGTTAAAAGTGGAGGAACCCATCATTCGCGGGTGATTGACAAGGAAAAGAGGGGAAACCGACCAAATATTACGACTCAGCCATTTCCTGCGAGATTATTATCCAGTCACAATTAAATGGGAGGATCATCCTTGCATTCAGTCTATTTCTAACCTGTAAAGATTTGCCCTGTGTAGTAGCTCCTTTCACAAAAATCAGCCGGTACCTTGCAGCATTAGCATGAGAGTTGAATGGCAAACCCACGTAAAGATTGCCTCTATTCTCCACCAGGCATAGGTGACATTAATAGACGTAGACATAAAGAAAATAAGTTAGCCTTGTAAGACACCTGGTTGAGCAGAAACAGTCCATTCTGGC